AGGCAGTCTCTTTTGAACATTTCACACATCACAGAATCCAAGACATATTTCAAATGATGGTGAGCAGACTTCTTTATCAACACCATGAAGGCTACAATTAACTACAGCAAATGTGGTGGTAGACTTTGTGGTACTCAAAATAAAGGAGGTTAAAAACTACCCTGTGATTCATGGAGCTCCAAACACCGTTTTTTAGCCCAAACAACCCTTCCCTTCCGCTATGGGGCTAGTTTTATGAATGGGTCGGGTAAAGGGTGCCACCAAGGGAAAGCCAAAAGCAGCTTTGCTCATTTCTGAATTCCCTGGACCGTTATCTCACACGTTGCTGCTGTTTGCTGCCCTCTGGCAATTCGAAGATACTCCAGACCATGGTGGAACCTCGGGATCAACCTCTGGAACAAGATGCACTACAAGAAGTGAACAGTTTTCCCAGGCTACCTTCCTCTGGCCAGAACAAAATGCTTCAAGTGGGCATACGCTGTTTTATATAAACTTCAGCGTTTCTATGGGATTGCAGCTACACTACAGTGAACCACATTCTATAAGCAGAATCTGTTTACTTAGAGAAAGGAATTTCTCACGACCATGATCAACTCTGGAGATCTCAGATAGCTTTGGGGCCACGTCAGGGGCTCAGGGACGTTTTCTATTTGCCTGAGAAGTATCATTGGCAGGACCCCACCCTCTGCGGTTTCTGCTAGTCCTGACAGGACAGCAAGACGCTATCCTTAGGACAAAAGTAGTGGCTCTGATGCACTTACACCTGGTCTTTAGGACAAAAATGGAAAATAATGGTGAAGAAAACTGGTTTTGCTATTTAGAAAAAAAAATCCTTATTTGAAATGGATTAGGTAGCTAGGTAGAAAAAATCCAGAGAAGATGAAAATTGCTATTTTTCTGATTTTTAGATGTATAAGCATAAGGGTAACACAAAAATTGCTAAAGGAAAACAGACAAATTGAATCTTTCAGACAACAGAGAAGAGGGATGGCTCCAGGTTCTCTTTTTGAAGTCACAACGACATTCTGTGTCACTTAAAACGATTCCCCAACACGAGGAGCTCCGAGAGGGGCAGATGGGCAGGTACAAAGCCTCTACTGTGTACCCCATAGGAGGGCTGGGGCTGGCCACAACTCTGGGTAAAAATGAAAGATGCCTTGGTCAGCAAGGACCAAACCAAACATCACTAATCATTTTTACTTTCTTGCCAAAACTCAACTAAGCTAAAACTTAAACACACTACCCTCTTTTTACAAATGAAACAGCTGTTTTCTTCCATAATCTCTCTTCCCAGATTGGACGCTTGTCCCCTTTTTCTTTTGTAGGACCCCAAACCAAGAGTCTTCTTCTGAGGCTTTCCTTAAGTGAGCGTTTCCTCAAAGTCTTCCCTTTGATTTCGGGGAGATTTGGAAGGACTGAGGTCCCTGGATTTTCCCACAGTCATCATAAAACACCAATACCCAAGGTGCTCACATCTCATCAAACCAGACAGCCCCTTCCTGCCCCCACAGCTCAGAGAAACGCTCCAACAACGTAACAAGGAGGCATGCCCCTCCTCGCAGCTGCCCACGTGGGGAGTGCAGACAGGGCTCCCAGCTTCGCGGAAATTTATGCCATTCCAGAAAAATCGACGTTACTTCCATCAACATAAAAGATGCGGCTGATTAATTTCAGGCACGCTGCAGTTTCTCCTACACCGAACGCTAAATATTCAATACAGCCTGATGACCCAGAGCACATGTTAAGAGCTCGTTGGAGCCAATAAATGTAGTTAATTAAGAAAAAAATCGATGCCAATTTCTCCAAAGCCTCCTCTTTGACGAAGGGAATATATTTTCTTCTCTTGGCCAACACAGGGTGAGGAGGATGCACGCCGCTCTGCCTCACTCTTCCAGCCCTCTACGGTTCTCTGCAGTGACAGGAAAGGGCCACCTCTGCTTCCCTGCTCCCGGGGCAATCACATGCTGCTCCCAACTGAAACCACTTTCCCTAAGTCAAAAGGGCACTTGACACCTTTTGGTGGCTGAATACAAGAGTTCCTCCAATTAAAAAGGAAAAAAAAAAATCCCCACTCAAACCACCCTCTCCACCAGCTGCCTGGCCTGTCTTTGGTCCCCTTCACAGCTTACCTTCTCGAAGGAGGTGTAGCTGTCATGCCGTCATCCACCCCTCACGGGGTGCCTGACCCCCCTGCTTCAACCTGGTGTCAGGGTCACCGTGCAGGTGCAGCAGTTCTCACTAAGGTGCCCGGGGAACACAGTGCACAATCCCCATCGGGCTTCACTACCCACATTGGGGGCCAAAAGGACCCATTTTCTAAAGGCAGCTACAAATAAAGAGGTGATACCCCCTAAGGGATGGAGAACCAACTGCTCCCAGAAACTGCCTCCCCCACACATCGCCAGCCCCCCAACTGCCAAATTGGGAGGAGGGCAGAGGAAGGCACTCAGAGCCTTCCCGTTCTTGGCTAAGGGCAGAGTGTTGTCATGTATGGGGGCAGGGGTGGGGAGTACGAAGAGACCTTGTCACAGAGACTGGGGCACGCCTGCGTCAAGGGGAGCTGACCCTCATTCCCCAACCGGATACACAGCAAACACGCTGATTTGCTCTGTCCCTACCAGACCAAAGAAGGACAATTGCAGAGAGATGTCAGGGCAGAAGGAAGCCTTAACCCCCAGTTGTACTTGGTTCACAGAACACTGACTAAGTGACTAGTTAGAGCAGCTCACCAGTACCCACCCAAAAGGGCCTCCTGCCAGAACAAGGGCATTTCCTGCACCACTTACATTAAAGGCACTCAGCCACCCCCTTTCCTTCACCCCTACCCCACAAAGGAGATATGGCTGGAGTCCAGAAGACGGGGGGCTCCAACCACAAAGGGAGTAGGAGTCCCAGAGGCAGACCACCTCTACTCCCCACTTCAGGTCTCTCACACCACAATCCTGGCAAGTGATAAGCTCAGGGAAAGCTTTATTTTTTTAATTTATTTTTTAAAGATTTTATTTATTCATGAGACACACAGAGAGAAAGGCTGAGATATAGGCAGAGGGAGAAGCAGGCTCCTTGCAGGGAACCCAATGCAGACCTGGATCCCAGGACCCCAGGATCACGACCTGAGCCGAAGGCAGACGCACAGCCACTGAGCCACCAGGTGCCCCCTCACGGAAAGCTTTAAATCAAATGCCTGTTTTTCTCACAGTGGTATTCCCAGACATATCCAAGTAAGCAGCACATACAGGCTTCATAATTATTTGTTGAATAAGTGACCGAACAGCTTATTAATCCTTGCCCTCCTTGTCTTTTCAGCCTCATTTTGTTCATTCACTCCAACCACAAATGTTTGTTGAAGGTTGATTCCATACAATTTAATCACCGTAAGGTGATTAAGACGTGTTCCCTGCCCTCAAGAAAGTTGCTAGAAAAAATAAATACAGACTTGGATCTGCCACAAGTAATTGTGTGAACAGTGGCATGGAAGGAGTACAACGTACCAGAGACATTAACTCAAAAATCCAAACCACTCGCTGAGCTATAAGCCACCCAGTTTTCTCTCATCAGTTTACAAAGGAATCCTCATGTCTGCCTCTTTGGTGAACGCTGGTCTTTTATCCGTCCTGCTAAAATGCATTTACCCTCAATGTGTCAAGGGCAGCGGTTAACACACTACCATTTATGTGTGATATCCTGGAGAAAGCCAGGAAAATCCATATTCCTTGGGTCTAGGGTAAGCCAAAAAGATTTCAGGGCAGAGCCTTGGATGAGGCCCTGGAGAAATGATAAGGTATGCATGGCCTTTCCTGGAGCACCACTGTATGTGATGCAGCTCAGAAGAATTGTGGGTTTGGGATAAAGGTGATGCCAGTGATGTACATTTCCCTTCACACAGCATCTTACCCACAGAAAGATGGCCATGCATTGTATAGAGCTGAACCACAAGACCAGAAATCACACGTGCTTTCCAGTGGTTGTTGTTTTTTTAAAGATTTTATTCATTTATTCATGAGAGACAGAGAGAGAGAGAGAGAGAGAGAGAGAGAGAGAGAGAGGCAGAGAGAAGCAGGCTCCCTGAAGGCAACTTGATGTGGGTGGGACTTGATCCTGGGACTCCAGGATCACACTCTGGGCGGAAGGCAGATGCTCAACCACCGAGCCACCCAGACATCCCTACAGGTTGTTTATTAGCAGAGTCTTAGAATTAGCATTTCAAGTTTCATATTTGCAGAAAGCAAATCACTCTATTTAACTTCTAGCTTCCTTGTAATCACTAACTTACATTCAGCAACTGTTATTGCTTCTCACATATATTTTTGACAAAGGTTTTTTTAAGGACCAGTTTTCACTGTTATTAGAATAGTACAGGCTCAATAAGAAAAAAAATCCAAAAAATACAGCAAAGTTGATAGCAGAAAAAATATCATGCAAGTTTTTACCAACCCTGTTAATATTCTGTTATATTTTTATTTAACCTCTGTTTGATTTAATAGATGTTTGGAATTAATATGCCCCATAAGCCAACTCTGGTAAAATCACCAATAAACTAGGATATAAACTGCCATCTGTAATCTCTTCCAATTATGAACAAGGTTGGAGCTGTATGACTATAAAACAACCAGTAGATTCAACTTTAAAAGCTGAAATTCAATGAAGGGAAAATTGGTTAAGTGGGTTGTTTAATGTACGGATATAAGCTGACACTCTTCACTTTTCTATTTGTCTTTCCAGTAGCCCAGCACTTGGAGTAAGTTTGTCCAAGCTTTTGAGAAACTACCATTTCAGATATAAACGCCTTTAAACAGAAATTCCCCTGATTGTTTAAAAAGGATCATTTCACGTGCAATTCTTGAAGGCCCAAAAAATCATAGTGTTAGCAGTGGGTTTTTGATAGGTAAGTATACAACTGCCATTATTTATCAAGATATCTAAAAAGGAATTTAGTTTCATCCCAGTCTTCCATAACAGACATATTCTTCAATAATATAGAATAAAAATTATGGGCTTACCTGATTAAGAAATCATGCAGTCCAACATCAAAATACCTGTTCAAAGAAGACAGACAAGTATGTCAGTAAAAGAAATGTACAGCAGTGGTGGACTTGACCAAATATATGTAATTTACACTCAGAGCCTGGTGAATAAATCAATCACTTTATAAGAACAGTTCTCAAGGTATGACCCCTGGAGCAGCCACAGCAGCATTACCTGGGGACTTGCCAGAAATGCAAATTCTCAGGCCCTACCTCAGACATACTAAGTCAGAAATTCTGAAGGCCCAGCCATTAGATCTGACAAGTCCTCCAGGCGATTCTGATGCAGAACCACTGCTCTATGACAGCAAAAGTGTCTCAGCAAGTCTATGCGCTCTCTCTAGGAAGAAAAAGGGGGAAAAAAGCCATAAGCGTAGATTTCACCATTTTGCCAACAGGTGAGTCCTGTCTCAGATGTTCGCTTGCTCAAAAATAAATGTTTTACAAGTACAAAACCATGCTGGCCAAAGGTAAAAACAGAAGTGGGAAAGGGTCAGCACTGTCCTTCCATGTTCCTCCCAGCCGTGGTCCCTGGAACTTTATACCAGAGAGCAACCTTGTCCATGGCTGGGTCTGCCTTGGAAGGGAAGGCAGGAAAGTAGCTCCATGCACATGCTGCTGAGCCTGCCATTGTGCTTGGGCCTCACACTGGGCATCCAGTAAGTCGTAGGCAGTCGTGGATCCTTTCAGAGACATCTTCCCCCTGACACCACCAAACTGGATTAATCCATATGAATGGCACAGGGCCTTGGTTTCTCTAATTAGCACATTTGTTCCCCCTAAACCTCTGACCCACTTAGCCAGTGTCCTTTTCTCACCTTTGGGTCTGTGAGTAAAAAGACTGGGTGGCTGGAACCATGATGCTGTCAACCATGCATGGCCACATCTCCTAGATGGTGGTCATTGTGTCCTGCCCAATAGACTGGCCTCCCAGGTTAGCCATCTGCCTGAATAAAGCCTGAGTTCATTCTGTCCCTACAAACAATGAGCAACAGACACATAAATTCGCCTAGAGCAAGGTCCAACCGCTGAGGCTCTGACTGTCCCTAGCTCCCAGCTCCATCCCTGGAACATCCCAGCATGCCTGGCACCTCACCTTACCTGACATAGAACAGATGATTACTGACATTAAAATAGGATTCCTTTGGATACCTTTAAACAGCAGGCTTCCTTTATGTACCCAAACATCTGTTTACCAGTCATGGACATGGGGTAGAACAGAGCAGCAAAGCCAAAATATAAAATACCTCATTCACTACATCACTTACCTGAAGTCATTACATGATTCAGGAAAATGGAATTCAAGATAAATAAGTTCCACTTACTCATTAGTCTGCTGAAAAGAGCTCTAAAGGGAGATGTACCTGCAGGGTTAGCTGATTTGTTTCAATTGATAATACATTGACCTGAGGAGATGTTAAGTTCTTCCTCCAATCATATTTCACACAGATTTTTTTAAAAAAATCAAAAACAGAAACGAGCCCTCCTCTCAACCAAAACCAAGACTATGTTCCTCAGCTACGTAAGTATATATGCACATGACAGAGAGCAATTGCAAGTTCACCAGGACCTGTAGCATGGGAGATACACGTATAGATTAGAACAAAGATTTCAGCTTCCTTCACTCATCCAAAACCTATTTAGCCATTTCAATTATATCAGCGGCAGAAAGCATCAGATTCTGTTGCAGGAATCAGCATAAAACAGACACAGAAAGAATCACAGAGAACTTGGGGCGGGGGGGAGGGAGAAGAAGACCCCGAGGGAGTAATGGAAAACCTAACAATATTCGTAGAAATGATTATTTAATATCTAGGAGGTGGCAATGCCTATGTTCGGTGCATACATACAGAAGCCACTGCCAGTGAGGCTGGTATTGGCACCTCCATTCATCAGTGCAGGAACTAAAGCTCAGAGGCTAAGTAACTTGCAGAGCTCACAGCTAGTAGAGGACAAATCTGGGAGTCAAACTGGGCCCTAAAAGCCATGAATTGCTTGTTCTTCCCACTAAAAGCACAGGCTCTCACTGCCTCTCATTATTATTAATTGAAAATGACTGTACATTTTAAGAACTGGTCCCTTTCCACCTGCCTTGATTTCTGCTTCTTCCAATGTGGCTGCCCTGCCCCAGGCAAGCCCACCTGCTCTGCATCCTTGAGCATACCTGCCCCGCAGGTGCCATCTAGCTCCTTGGGTCTTAGAATCAGCTCAGTCTCTGGAAAGTTATGTTACTGGGCTTTAGCCTCTCCGTGGGAAAATGGAAATCCCTTATTCACAGAAGGTTATGAGAATTAGGTGATATAACATAAATGCAGGGCTTAGCACAGTGCTTGGTAAACCCGTGAGTACTCAATAAATAGTCATCTCCTTCCCTCCAATTTTTAAGAGTTGTTTTAATGGAAGCCCAATCCCCAATAACTCAGTAGGAGAAAGAAGCCACATATAAAGGAAATAATAGGTCTCACTATGCAGCCCACAAAGAGAGGTCACTTAATCCAGGACACAGGCAGGACTTGTGCAGTGGGGTAAGGGTAGTACAGCTGGAAAGCTGAGGGACAGAGCTCACACAACAGGCAGGAGAGCAGGAAGATCGATTATACCACGGAGGCCTCATAGAGAGTCTTGAAGCTACAAGTGAGAGCCGGCAGGGAACACAGGAGAGCAGGATCATCATCCTGCCCGCCCTTGCCCCAACTGGCACCTCAAGAAGGACCAGTACACACTAATGCATGCCCAGCTTCACCTGTCACCACAGTGTCCCCTAAAGTTTAGGGTCTAAATATACAGAAGTAAGGGATGGTGACACACGGTGATCATTTCTTCTTGTGCAAACATGACTGGTCATGGATGGAATCTGGGGCTGGGACAAGTGAGGGTCTTTAAGCATCCCCCATTAGGCAAGCTTTCGATGAGAATACTATAAGAAGCTAACAGTCACTTGGAAACAGGTGGATTGGAGAAGGTCAAGGATAGGATCAGCATCAGAAAATGTACCAGGAAAAATGTAAGGGGAAGAAAACGGAACTTCCTCACAGGTATTCACGTCTTACTCCTTTGTGTGTCAATGCATCCATGTGTATAACTCATTCATTTAATAGATATTTTGTCAGAATCCCCTAAGTGCCAAGCACTGATCTAGCCCTGAAGAGGGGGGTGGGGGGGGAGTAACATAACAAGAGCCCTACTTCTCATGGCACCCCCAGTCTAGGTGGGAGAGGTGAACAACAAATAAGCACTTACATAAAGAAGGTAACATCAGAGAGCAGAGAATGCACACAAGGTGACAGGACAGAGGGGGGCCACACAGCCGCTCAGGAAAGTCCTCTCTGATGAGGTGAGGTGACACTTGGGTGCAGATCTGCATGGTCAGAAAGGACGAGCTATGCAAAGACCAGAGGGAGAGTGTTCCAGGCAGCAGGACATCTGGGTAAAGCCCCAAGGTGGGAAGGAATGTGTCATGCTGGAGGAAAGGAGGAAGGCCCAGAGGACTGGGACAAGCTGAGGTAGGAGAGGGGACAGGACCAGATCTGAAAAGGCTGTAGATAAGGAGTTTGGGCTTCATTTTAACATCAATGGGAAGCACTAAAGGGTCTTTAACAGGGGAATGGTATTTCTTTTCGTTTGTTTAAATGTCATTCATTTAGGGGGAGAGGGTGTGATATGCTTTGATTTATGTCTCAGAAGGAACACTCTGAGTGTCCTGAAGGGAAAGGATGAGACAGAAGCAGGGCAGGGAGCCACTGCAGTCCAGGTGAGAGGTGACCGGGACTCACCCCAGGACAGAAACACTGGAAATGAGAGAGAGAGAGAGACAGGCATGGATTCAGGTATGATTCTGTGATCGAGTACAAAGACGTGCTCCCAGACTCCTGCAGGATGGGGGAGGAAAGAGGGAGGAGGAAAAATAATCTGCAAAAGAGCCGAGTGCCTCACATCACACAGCTTCATACCAGGCAACCCTGAGGCTCAGCCAGGCCTCGACTGCTTTCTGGAGGTTCCACAGTAATGCTTGGTGGCCCACATCCAGACTGAGGGAACGACGATGTTCTGTGACTGGCTTAACTCGGAGAATGGCTCACCTGCTGGGAGAACTGTAAGTCAGGGCAACGGTTTGGGTCCTTTTAATGAATTTATTGTGGTAAAATACACATAACCACAAAACTTCCACTTGAACCATTTCTTTTTTTAAAAGATTTTGTTTATTCATGAGAGACAGAGAGAGAAAAAGAGAGAGACAGAGACACAGGCAGGGGGAGAAGCAGGCCCCATGCAGGGAGCCCGACGTGGGACTCGATCCTGGGTCCCCAGGATCACACCGGGCTGAAGGCGGCGCCAAACCGCTGGGCCACCCGGGCTGCCCCCTTGAACCATTTGTCACACGTATAGCTCAGTGGCATCAAGAGCACCCACTCACACTGCCGTGCAGCCATCACCACTGTCCATCTCCAGAACTTTTTCAACCTTCCACACTTGAAATACTGGGTTTCCTCTTTCCCATGGTAAAGCTGACTTGGGCTCCTTCCAAAGGATTCAGGGGTGTCCCCCCTTACATAGGGCTGGGCCTTTAATTTCAAAACAGAAGCCAAGCAATGAAGTCTAGAAATATCTTCTCATTTAATTTTCCTGTATGGATGTAAAGGTGCCTTAGGGGACTACAGGAGAAAGGGAATATGCTTTTTTTTTTTTTTTTTTTGAACTGTAGAGGGACACCTGGGTGGCTCAGCAATTGAGCATCTGCCTTCAGCCCAGGGCGTGATCCTGGTCCAGGGATCGAATCCCACATCGGGCTCCCTGTGAGAAGCCTGCTTCTCCCTGTCTGTGTCTCTCTGCCTCTCTCGGTCTTCCATGAATAAATAAATAAAATCTTAAAAAAAAAAAAAAAAGAACTCTATGCCAGGCACTGGGCTAGGCTCTCTGGATATGATCTCTTTTGGCCCTTGCCACCTGCCAGAACAGATCCCTGTTTTATAAAGCCTCAGGCCCTTATCCTCTATCACATAGCTAGTAAGCTG